TTTGGCCACTGGAACAGCTCCCCAGGGCAGTGGTCACAGCCCCAAGCCTGACAGAGCTCAAGGAGTGTTTGGACAATGCTCTCAGGCACAGGGTGGATTGTTTGGGCGTCCTGTGCAGGGCAGGAGTTGGACTAATGATCCTTGTGAGTCCCTTCCAAGCTCAGATTCTGTGATTCTATGATCCTCTTTAGTTTTATGTTTTTCTCTCAAACTGACCTTCACTCCATTACATCCTTCAGATTAAGATAACACAGAAGTTTTCCAGGAAGCTCTGATGTGACGGAGTGACCTGTACAGCTACACCAAAGTTTTACACATGTTCATGGATGTCACTATAATAAAAACTTACACATGCTTCATATTTATCTTCATCAATATTCAAACTGTAGCTCTGCAGGATTTGCTTTGATCACTATTTCAGGAGGCAGAGCCACATCTTATGTGAAAAATAACACAATGCCAGAACGGTTTGAGCTGGAAGGGACCTCAAAGCTCATCTTGTTCTAACCCCCTGCCCTGGGCAGGGACACCTGCCACCAGACCAGGTTGCTCCAAGCCCCATCCAGCCCGGCCTGGAACACTCCCAGGGTCCTTTTGTCAGTCCAAGTACATATTTCCCAAAACCTGGTTTGAGGATTAAGTTATTCATGGGAAAGGCCAGTCAGAAGGGCTTTCAGAGCCAGCCAATATCCAGCTTCACATTCCTTGGAAGCAAGATTAAAAAATAATGTGAACAAAGATGGTACTTTAGAAATATGTAAGAGCATGAATACTTCTAACTAGAGCAACACAAACAACACACTTCGGAGCTATTAAACTGCCTGAGGTAACTCAACCCTTGCTGAGGTGAAACCACAGCTGTGGGAGATATCCCTAACCAGGAAGGTGAGTGCAGACACGGCCCCCAGTGCTGACTGGCACAGCCACCACACTGCCCTCAAAGTTGGGGAGAGATGGAATTCTTTATTTGCAAGTGGCTTTCCGTTTCCAAATAACACAGGAAAATCTTAAGAGCTGATAACAATCAACATTTCAACTGCAGCTCTGAGAAAATACTGAGGATTCTGCGACCTGAGAAAAGTGCACGGAGCTACAACGCTTCCAGATCCCAACATGGAAGACATTATCCTCCCATTTCTCATCAAGTCCACACTTCCTGGAGGAAACAGCCAAGCAAAGAAAGCTGAAATGAAACCTCAAGTGTCAAGGAATTTTACAGGGTCTGGAGTTTGTTATGTGTTCCAAGAAGATGTGTCCATACAAGGCATCACTGAAGCCCTTGCACAGAGTTTAGCCTAGTGTTGGATCTGACTCTTCATCAGGCTGAAATGTTGCCTTTTTACAAAAAGTCATCCCACTTATTTGAGGCCACAACAGCACTGCTAATGCTCCCTCCAAGCTAGTTTACCCAGGCTGCTCCCCCAGCCAGCACTTTATTCAAGAAGAGTTTGAAGCTGTGGGCACTGTCGGATGCATTGAGCAGACCAGGTGAATCCACACACTTCTCAAGTGGATAACGACAGATTTCCCCTCCTCGATCACAGTTACAACCCCCAGGCTATCAAACCAGACAACTGCAGATGAAGGTTAAAGACCACAGTGAGCAAACATCATGTAGATACAAAGGGTTTATGCACCAAGTGTGCTCTAGATGAGCAGCACACCTTCCTTCTCACATATTTAAGAAGCTGCTCTTCCCCCACAAGGTGCCCCAGCACTGTGCTTTGATTTGAAATCAAATCTAGACCAGAGTGAGTAGAGAAGGGGAAAATTGCCCTTACCAAAAAGCTGGTTTCTCTTTTGTTCTTTTCTTCTCCTCATCAATGAGGAGCAGTGATGATGATGAAGATACAAGAGCAGAAAATGGACATCCACAGATAAAGCTTTGTCATCTACTGACCTGTGGCATGCTGGCAACCCTCTGGCAGACAGGCAGTGGTGAAACATCACCAGCTATTCATCGCAGAAGGCTCAGACAAAGCAGCAGCATGCAACGCTGCCCAGCAGGTATCCTGGCGAATACATTTCTGGTGCCCTTGCACATGGCATTCTGCCATTAAAAGCCAAGAGATGCCTAGACAAATTCCCCTGGGTCCCTTTGGGGAGACTGACACGGAATTCATCGGCCAGAAATTTAGTCATCCACTCAACGTCTCTGCTCCAGAAGCCTAAGATGAATAGGGAGCTATGGTGAACTTTGAAGCCTGCGGGTCAAAGTTCTCTCTCATTATCCCCACCATTTTCTATCAGCAGAGCTCCTCAGCATCCCAAGGGACAGGAAGGTTTGAGGCTCTTGAAAAAAACTGACATGACCAAGTCAGAAAACAGTAGGGTGCTTATGTACATATATTTTTCCTTCCCCATTTTCCTCTCCCCCCACTTTCTTGAGAAGAAAGAATACAGATTTAGCTATTGTGTCGAACATCAGCCTGGTGGCATCAGCAGTCACTCATTTAGCTGGCACAATGCTGCACTCATTTCAACACGCTGCCCTGCCAAACAGACCTGACCCTTCCAGGGACACCTCCTCTGGAACAAAGGGCCTCATTTGATTTTTTCACTCCCCATCCCCAAACCTTTCATTCTGTAGCCAGTCCTTTCAAGGAGGATGTCAGTACCGATTTCTGCAGTACGTATTTTCAACGTTACGAGCACTGCTCTGTGCCTGAGCCGCCACCGAACGTGTCTGAGAGACACAGTTGAGCCACTTGTGGCCAAATTTGAGGCAGCATTTAACACAGTGCTCACATATTGTAACAGGTCCTTCCAAGGCAGGTGTTATGTCCTGACTCAAACCACAGGCTGGACAGACCAAATGATCTTCTAAATTTACTCTTTCTGCCATCACCAGAACCCAGACCACCTTTTGCTCCAATTAAAAATTCACATCAGAACTAAAAATGGCAAAAGTTTGATTAACCAAAGAGACTTGCACACTGGAGATAATCCAGATCTGACTGGTCACATCAGAGCTAGGTTTTACACCAGTTCAGGAAACTGACTTCAGAGGGTTCAAAAAGCTCTTCCCTTTACTGCTATTTAATCGGAGAATTGGTAGGAATCAGGTCCTGATTTTTCAAAACAGTATCAGGAACTATCCCAAACAGCCATGCAAGCATAGCAGTAAACATTCATCAGTTTCTTTGGTTTTGCTGTGGGGAAAAAAGCAATAGAAATTTACAAACACTAGCAAAACCAAACCAGAAACATGTTATTAGAGTCTGGTTTAGGAGAAAAGCCACTCACCTGGCAATACCCAACTGGAAATTGTGACTTGCTTGTCTACAAAGTTTAATACAAACTGTACTGGGAGCGTGACTTAAATATCTGCGGTTACATTTATGAACCTCTCTGATCCATGCAAGGTCTGAGCAAATGGCAACACAGAGCCCTGTACCTTCTTCTCAGGGCTGGGAGGCCACGGTGGGAGATAGAGGGAAACAATTACAGGCTAGTAATTACTTCTTCTTTAAATGGATTCTCTCTAATCTCTGATGGATTTACCTCTAATCTCAAAGTAATTACGTCTAACCTCAATGGATTCTTACTCTGGGGGAGATGATGCAGCCCCAGGGAAGCCTGCAGAGAAGAAGTTCTCTATTGTGTGCAAGAGCAATGAGAAAGCAACACGTGCACAGCACTGCCAGGAACAATGGAGCCCTTCCACAGCACTGGGAAGGGACAGGGTGCAGACAACAGCTCCTTACCTCCTCCTTGCCTGGTGACCCAACACAATCTCAGGGAAACTCAGGTGGGAGCTCCATGGGGGCTGCCCCAAGGGCACACAGTATCTGTGCTTCCCTTCTGGGAACAACACCAATACACAATTCAGGGATTTCAGGACCACTCCTCAACAGAATTCCCCAGATTTAGAGGCCTAAGAGTGGCCAAAGAGGACAGAAAGACTTGAATCATTACACACAAAGGAGCAGTGAGAACCTTGCTCCAGAACACAAGGGATGAAGGACAAGGTTCCTGATGGAAAGCAGCAATGCCTTGAAGTGATCTACTAAATAATTTTAAGAGACATGGGCATAGCATCAGATACCAGAGCTAAGCATTATTATGGCAGGATCTGAGACTAGGAAATCCTGTGTCAAGCCAGAGAAAGTGTTAATATTCCACCGCTGGAGAACAGCAAACTGGTGCAGGCACAGCACCAGCACAGCCACATGTGCAGATGTGGCACATGTGGACATGGGTTAGTGGTGGGTTTGGGAGGACTGGGTTAAGGGTTGGACTCAATGATCTCAGAGGCCTTTTCTAACCTAAACGATTCTCTGTTTCCATGTCCCTCAAACACCAGCCATCTAAAGCAGAAGTTTCCTGCCAGTTCCACATGCAGGTCCATAAGCCTCAGAGTTTACAGCAAATGCATCAGAACGAAACCTTTATTGTCACTCCTTAATAAAAACTTGCCCAGGAGCTCAAAATGCCACCAAAAGGTCTAGAATCAACTGGCCCTAAAAATGTTACAACTGGCCATCCTCTGATCTTCACATGCACAATAATGATAAAATGTAAGATCAGATATGATCCTATACCTTAGTATAGAATCATAGTCTCTATAATCACATACATATAATATCTCTCATGTATTCATCATATAACCTTGGTGAGGGTCACACCATAGTTTTTGGGATTGGCTGGTCTTGAGTCTGTTCACTGCTCCTTCTAGCCCCAAATCTCTATCTAGGGATTGTGCCACATGCTCTGAGAGGGACAGACAGCATCCTCAGGCCAATGACAGATGCCTTGAAGTGGAAGAGCTCTCTGGCACATGTTTTAATAGCTGTGCCATTTCCAAAATCCTGCTTGGAATTACTTCTGAACAAACCACAATCGCTGCACACTGACAAAGAGCAAAAGTTCTGCTCACTACTCACTATGTCTAAGAAACTTTTTCTTATAAAACATCTCTGTTGTGGGCTCAACAAAAGCTAACACTGCTTTACTAGGGTCTGATGCTGTGAAACATTCTGAGAGCACAGTGTACTTACATGTAAACTGGGGTGGTAGGTCAGCACGCCGTTGTCACACAACGTCACATATTTCTTCTTCCACTCTTTGTTCAAGGACTTGCCACTTCGCTTTAGCAGCATACCCTGATGGCAGGAGAAAGAGACAAGATTAAACACCTTCCCACCAAAGCACAACTACTTAAGAGACAGAAGAAGTAAGTACAATTGCCAACATTTCTAGCTATGCTTTCTCCTGCCGGTTACTCATTCTCCCCTGACTCTCCCATAGCACGTGTTCTCTCCATCAGCAGCTTCAGGGTTTGCAAGTTAGGAAGAAAAACTCAGAGCGTGCCTGTCATAACGCAGGTCACAAACAGAAATGTCTGTATCAGTGTTGGCTTTATGTAATGGAAAGGAAAAACCCTTCTGCATGGAATTCCATGCCTCAGGAAAACAAATTTCCGTGTGACACGGAGAACGGCTACCCACATGCAGTCCTAGTTGATAAAGACAGTAGGCTTTGCATTTCCTTGCCTTCTACAACAAATGCTGAACCTCAGGTTGAGTGAGGATCCTGCTGCGTGGCCTGTGCTGCCTTCAGCATGTTCCTGGAGACTCTTTGTTGTCCACAGAAAAGCACACACCTGTGCTCTTGCTCCCTCTTGCAGTAAAGTGACACCACCATAGAAACCCTCCTGGCTACTCACTCCAGCAAAAGAGACATCGGTTCCAGGTAAGAAGAGCAAAAGGGAAACGGCAAATAAAGTTTTCCCAGTAAATCCTGGATGATTTAATGAAAGGAAAGAATGTGGGCAAGGTGACTTGTCTTTCCACAAATCATGGTCAACTTAAACATCCGGGATGAATGCTAACAATCATCAAATCCCAGGATGGTTTGGGTTGGAAGGGACCTTAAAGCACATCCCATTCCAAGTCCCTGCTGTGGACAGGGACACCATCCATTAGTCCATGCTGCTTCCAGCCCCAGCTTTGAACACTTGCAGGGATGGGGCAGCCACAACTTCTCACCAACAGTTAAGACTTGAAGTCATCACTATGTTCAAACGGACACGAACTGCTGCTGCATATGAACCTATTCTCAGCTCAATACCAGAAATTGACTTCGAAAAGCAAAATACAACATGCTGTAGCACACTCAAGGTGGTAAATGAGAGTGCACTTCCCTAGGAAGTTTTGACTTCCAAAACCAAGCCAGAAGGCAGCTCCTAATGAACTCATACAATACGTTGGGCATGGAAAGTCTTACTGGAATGTCGATGGAGGCACCCTGGACAGTGTCTACCACATGGACTCACTAGTGCCACAGATCAAGCTCCGCTCAAAGCAGACAATTCTATCCATTTCATCAAATCAAGACCAGGAATCTAAACCAACAAAACTTCAGTTCTCTAATCCCCACTCTCATTTTCCAAGGCAACTAAAAACAAAAGGAAAACAGGACATAGAAAGATGCCCTACCAAGCATGGTGCTTCCAACTCCCATGGAGCTGTTTTTCTCAAAGCTGGTTAAAACCTTGAAAGCAAGTTCTGCTGTTTGTTTTCCCATCAAACCTGCAGCTCTATGAAACGATCTCTCCACAGATCCAATCCCAAAGCCTTAAGGCGACAAGGGCCAGCTCTGCTCATGTAGAAGTCCTCCAGAGCTAGAATTCCAGATGTTACAACTTCCCTCTTAAGTCTCTCACCATTATCCATACAACCCAACAACTCTTCTTGTGCAAGCACAGTGACGACCCCAGTGGAAAAGCCATGTTCACACCTGCCTGCTCCCAGCCGTGCACGTGTAATAGAATTTCAGAGAAGAATCTCTCCCAATTCAACGCAATCCATGGATGGGACCATGAAGAAAAACTCATGTCGGAGGCCTGAATTACACAGGGGTACAGACTCCCAACTTTCTGGCTGTCTGGGGTCACGTCTTTATTTTTTTGTGCTGTTCTTTGCTAGAACTTGAACTTTTTCAAGGAGAATGGGGTTTCTGAAACGCCTCCTTACAAAAGCTCCTGCCAGCGCGAGCGGCACATTCCAATTACTGTCTGCCGTGGTTAGAAACGTTGTTTTCTTCTATTAAAAAATGAAAGCTTACTTCTGCCTTTGACTCTCCTGTTTGTCTATAGGAGGTGATCTGTCGCTTCACCTTTCCCATCTTTCATACCTCACCTGCAGCACGTTCGCCGCCGTTTGGGGGGACCTGATTCTAGTTAGTGCTGTGCCTTGGGGATCAAAAATTACTGTTTCCCTGCACTGGCTTGTTCTTCAGACCTTTTAATGGGGAAAAAGCAGTCAGGATCACAATGGTGATCTTTTCTTTTTCCTTTTTTTTTTTTAAGTTTTGAAGCAAGTAAGATGTCTAGATTTCACACCTTTTACCTGTCCTTCTGCTTCACAGAAATCATGTCATTACTTAGATAATTTTCAATTCATACCAATTAGAAACTCAATAAACAGTAAAACCTCACCAGGTTTGGGATTTTTTAACTACCTAGAAGTTTGCTGCTGTCTGGGTGTGAATTATGACATTCTAGTTTCGGATCTAAATGAAATTTTTCAACATGAGGTTTCACCTTGTTTTAACATGGAATTTTGTGCTTTCATGTGAAAAAACCCTACCCAGCTCAGCACCGAATATGGACAATGCATCTGTTTGTGCCTAGCTAACAAACCAGACTTCCCAATCCATTCTTTCAGGCATTCCTTTGGCAAAAGGAATCACTTTTCACATTATGTGAGAATTAAAAGTATCTTCCAGTATTTGCAGAGGAAACAGCTCTGAACACAAGGAGCTAACAGTGTTACAGAGCAAAGTAGCCCATATAAACCACACATTTTCCCCAAGGCTACCACTGCATGGTAGTTTTATCAGATGGGCTGAGAAATGGCCTTAGAATGGAAGTTTAGATTAATTACAAATGCATTTTAACTAAACTTTAAAAAAGGCCCAGATATGACAAGAAAAGACACTTAAAAAACAGCCTTCTGCTTCAGTCACATTATGTCTGCATGAAGTGACATCAGGCACTGTTCCTAGGCACTGAGATCCATGTGCTCCTGCTGACCTCTGCAACCTCTGAGGCAATTCAGAGGTAGCTTGGTCACGCCCCCAGTCACTGCCAAACAGGCCCCTGCGTACACACAGCATGTGGGAAAAACCACATTTAGTTCCCAACTCACAGACTAAATTAATGTTCTACTTCCAAATACCAATTTTTTTGCCTCAATAATCTCTGCCACAAGTTGTTATTAATTGGATAATGCTATTTTTCCTAATTTGTATGAAACTTCTCATTTCTTAAAGTCTTCCATCTGCAGTTGGGTGTAGCTGACCCTAAGCTTCCAGACTCAACACTAAGAATTTAACACCTCCAATTTCCACACAAACTGAGATTTTCACGCTTCAAATGACTTTTTTATCACCTTCCCTCCAAAACTGCAATTCTGTGTCTAACAGAGGAATGGCTTCTCCTACCAGACTCCTCTAGCTCACGCTTTTAACGAGCCAGAGGAGAAAGACTCCAACAGGAGAGCATGAACCTCACTCCTCGGGTTTCGCTCGAGGAACCTCATCCCTGCACAAAGCGAACACAGGAGCCGCCTGAGCGTACTGCCGGCTCTTTATTAGCTATGTGTGTGCTACATCTAGTCCCAGGAGGTCATTGCAAGCCAAAAGCAATGTTAAGTGTACAAGCTTTAAATAACTTACAAAGTTAATGTAATGAATGTAAGTGTGATCTGAAATCCATCACTCAGTGGCTCGCTGTAGCCTCAAGCTGTGATAAAACACCACTCATAAATTTATATTAAAACTCTGTTCAATAGCAATTATTTACCAACAAAGATTTATTGATTGCATTTGCTGTTTGAGACTGAGGCCCTAACTGAGTCAATCAGCGTATGCTGTTGAGCTCCAGGGCACCCGGAGAAGTTACAGACTGCCAGCAGGCTCCACGTCCCCGTCATCACTGCGGGAGCAGGAGCAGCTAATGAAAAGCCTCCAGCATCGGATTGATTGGAGGGAAGGTGAAAAAACAACACACCCTACACCAGTCAAGGGCCTACTACATGTAATATACCCAGGGAGCACCACACGTAATACACAGTGATCAGCCAAATCTGGTTGCACCAAACACCTTCCAGGGAATGCAAGTACCCCAACGGCAGGTGTTTGGACTAGCTGGTCTTTTTGGCCCCTTCTGACCCAACCCATTTCATGATTCTACTTTGGTTTCCATTTTCCTTTAGAAGTTCACACCACTGCCACAGCTGATGTACTGGCACTGTGCAAGCTTTTTTTTCCCTTCCCCTCCTTAATTTTTAGCCAACCACATACTGTTGTCCTGATGGTGTTCTGACAGAAGGAAATACACAATCTTGCACTTAACCATAGAATCATAGAATTTAAGGGTTGGAATGGACCTTACAGATCATCTAGTCCCAATCCCCTGCCCTGGGCAGGGACAGCTCCTCACTAGACCAAGTTGTACAAGGCCTCATCCAGCCTGGCCTTGAACACCCCCAGGGTCAGGGAAACTCCAAGTCTTCAACTCCAAGTGCTCCAACCACCCTAACAAGACTAAACCATGTAAATCCCTAACTTTCCACTCAGGTCTGTACTTCTCACTGCCATGATGAGCAGCCAGCACTGCTATGAATTCTACTGCTCTATCATGTCCTGGTCACAAAAGCAAAACTCATGCTCGTCAGAAACATCCTCCCTCCAACAGCTCCAAAGGCAGCCACTCAGCCAGGATCACAAACTAGCCATCACGTACTAATTCTGGTCAATAAAACACCAACTCCCTTTAAACCTGTTAACACAAGAAACAAACACTGGGGAATCATCCAGGATTGCACAACCAGACAATGCTGGACAGTCTGGCCAACAGCACTGGGACCAGTATAGCTCATCCTTATAACAAACAACAATAATTCTTAATTATTATTTTTTGTTTCCAGAAGGTTTAAGTGTAACAGGTTTCTAGTGTTAAAGCACATAAGTAGACAGCAGCTCAAACTATTTCACCTTCAAAAAATACTTGCATGCTATATATGGTAGTAATAAAATCCTATCACAGAATCCCAGAGCAGTCTGGGTTGGAAGGGACCTTAAAGCCCATCTTGTCCCA